TGAAAAATCAAGCAGGAACTAGCCAGGAAAGCGAGGTGTTTAAAGACAGCCATTTTTTTTCACATGAGAACGGATTAATCATTTTTACATTACTTTTTATGGGAAAGGTTGGTTCGGTATACGTCCTATTCGGTATAAGTCCAAACATCAGGAACGGATTAAGGTCGTATACCAAGATTCCACTGTATATTATATTCACTGAATTACTGCGGCAATTATAGAGCGCGAAATAGACGTGCCATTACGCTATTACTGTGACAGATAGCACATACCACTTGCCTGTGTGTAGTGTAGTAGTGTTTGGCTCTTGTACATTATACTTTTCCTGTTATCAGTAACCGGCATAATAGAATTATGCCGGTTATGTATCTAACTCCGTTCAGGGAAACATTTTTAAATTGAAATAACGTAACTTGCGTTATAAATCGGAAGTTCAGATATAGTTAATCCGGTCCTCATTCTCTTACGATTTTCATGTCTAGTCTAGGCTTTCATCTATCTAACTCATTTCTCGATATTAAGGAAAGACAGAGATGGACTGATGACAGTGTGAATAAATAGGTCTGCAATTTTTTCAAATTGCAAAAATAGGTCTAAATAGGTCTAAATTCAAATTGCAGTCCAATAAGTAGGCCTACTGTACCCTCCAGTAACCGAATCTATAAATCCACCGAACACCAGTAGTCGTTCGTGGGTTCGCGCATGGCCAACGAACCACGTGGCTACGTGGAGTTTTCTAGTTTTTCTTCCCGTTAATAACACTTAAATTGAAGCCAGATTTACATCAAAGTCTTTCTGGGATACATCCTCCTTGGCAAATCGCTCGCCTGTAGCGTTGCTGTAACCAAATAAACCAAACCAATTTTAATAATTTTTCTATAAATGCGATATTTACGAAAACATATCTAACTATCAGGAAACCTGGACACACCGCTCCCTCCCCTGATTTCCTCTTCCCTTAGTAACTCATAAACCCACTTTATCGATAATGCTTAAGATATTGTAACATTCAGCCAAATTAATGTACTGTACATGCAACGATTTTAAGGCACAAAGTAGAGCTGGAAGTTTTTTTTGTGCCGATGTTTATTTTTTCTATCTATTATACTACAAGGTGACATTGCTTCATTCAAAAACCCTTCACTTGTACTTGTAGTCTGTGTAATGTACACTTTATTCACTTGTTGTCTTATTGTCAAATCTGCTTCCAGTATTCTTATGCTGCAACTTTCAGAACTTTTCTTTAATTAGATGTTTTTGCTGAGATTTACTTTTTCAACCTGGTTTCACAAGCTTTTTTTTACTGGATCACATAAAAACAATTATTTTCGCATTTTTATAAGACATTTTTATTTAAACAAGTCTTATATGAAGTCTTTCGAACATTAAGGTTAGTAACTTTGATTACATGTGAGACCATAACAACCTATCCAACACGAATCACTTTTCAAATATTAATATTAGACCAATATTTATTAGTAGTCGTTGACATCCTCTCACCCAGGAGGTGAACAACGACTACTTTTGATCGAATTTACGTCATCCTCCATCTGCAACAGTTCCTTCTTTTCGGATTCACCGTATGGTGACATTCGAATAGAAAAATGACATAATACAAGGTTACTAGTCTGTACAAAATATGCTTTAAGTGATTTTCGAAGATGCCGAGATTAAATATTTGGTCTATTTTTCGCGAAGTTTGGTTGGTTGGCAGATTACCATCTGTTATTCGACTGTGAATGGCACAGTTTCTTAGAGTTAACATTAGGAAAAATATATCTTTAAAAATTTTAAATATCAATTTTCAGTTGCTGTCTACTTGACTAATGAAATTCTGCCATTTCGTACCGTCCGAGTGTCGCAATAAACATGACAATGGTAGGCTAAAATAACCAAACTGTTTTTACGGTTTTTGTTTTAATATTTGTTATATAAAAGTATTTGATTTATATAACTACAAATGTTATCTTACGTAACTGTTTAGCACACCGAGTGACCAATCTAACATATTTTAAAACATTTTTATTCCTTTACTGTACACAATTTAAAGAATTTTAGAATGGTTAGATTGTCACTTGGTGTGATAATTCATTATGTAAGATAACCTTTGTACGTATGTGTATCAAATTCTATAATAAGTTATAATATAATAGAAGTGTTAATTATAAATCATAAATTTATTTTAATGTTTTTAAATATGTACTATAGTGATGCCGCTTGTATGGCAGCATGGAAACGAGTGCGTTTCCATTAAGAGGATCCACATTAGAGGCGCGATTGAGATACTTTCTGCCACGCGATTATCTAAACAGTTCCTCGTAATAACAATAACAGCCATTAAATTATCTTATAGACTACTTAGCCAGGGCAATCGAGAACTTCTACGAAGGCACGGGATAAAGCGGGCCCTTTTATTAATTTTTTAAACAAATGAAATACATAGAATGATTTTTATTAATAAAAAATCAATTTAAAAATTTTTTGTTAATGAAAATACGTTAATATATAGGTAACCTATAGGAATAACTCCGAGTCTTCTTTTCCTGGGTTTGAGAAAATTTTTCCTGCTCCCCTCCCCTCGCGACATTCCTATCTAGCCGTCCAATAGGTAATCTACACTGGCTGTTCTCAACTTTTTTTTTGCCTACCCCGAGCCTTCTGTGCATAGAGATGTAGCACTAAGTGGCATTTCATGCGTTCTGTTAGAAATAAGAAAACCGTCCGTTCAGAACCGTTAATGTAGAAAATCGAACGAAAAAATCCACTTAGGCCGAAAGGCGTTAAAATTTTTCAAAATATGTACCGATATTTACAGTGGAAAGAATAATGTGTGATAAAAATGCACTGTTAAACAAACAAATATGCATTTCTAAGTAAAATTGTAATAATATTTCCAACATAAGATTATATTCATATTTTACTTTTAATTTTTAGTTTTGATTGCGCCGAAGATAGTTCGTTACTTCAAGATAGAAATTTTCCCCCGTAAGGTATTGGATTACTTCAGGAATGTAATTTTGAAAATTTTAGAAGAAAGAAAAGAAAAGAAAATAGTAATTACTTATTATTTTCTTATATACAATATTAATTTACTAAATAGGCTATAACAGATATCTAATTAACCATTTATATTTTTTACCATTACTTGATATAGTATAAAACGTGTAGACATAATGTTATAAATAAAATTGTGTATCGTTTCGACATCAAATTTTAATTAGTCTATTTTTTTCTAAAATAAAGAAATTTTATTTACTTCATATTTGATGTGTACAATAAATATGATCTTCGCTTTGTATAGAGAGGTAATGATTTTCTTCAGTTAATGATGGACGCCCAAGAAGGGATTCTCGAAAATAGTACTGAAGATTTGAAAGAAGCTTCAAACGAAATAAATAATTACCAGGTGCAACATAAACACAAAAGTATTAAATTATTTTTATTACGTGATATATTTTATTTAAATTAATAACCTGTTAAATATTAATTTACATTACAGCCATGACGATTGATGAAATTGTAGCTCAAAGTATTTTATTTTTTATTGCTGGGCACGATACGACAACTACAGTGTTAACATATTTTTGTTACCAAATGGCATTAAATCCAAAATTGCAAGAGAAACTGCTAAGAGAAATAGATGAAACGTGGCAGCAATATGTAACTTAAATCTAGTCTTTATTCATTACATCAATAATATTATTATTTTAAAATTACTTTTTGTTCCTAAAACATAATACCTTCTGAATTTTACGCAGAAGACAAAAAGCTTTTCTAATTAAAAAATATATAATTTATGGTTTTATCCTTATTTGAAAGATGTGAAGTCATGTAAAAAGATACAAAATATTTTATTTTCAGTTTAAATTTACAAAAAATTTATTACATAATAATATAAGTAATACAAGAGAAAATAATCGTTTTTCTTCGTTCAATTTGAAGGTTTTAACTGAACCACTTACCTACAAAAGTCAATTTTCAAGTTTTATTCAGAAAACAATCAAAATTAGTTAATGCAATTCATATATAGTACAACATAGTTAAATCATATATGAATAATAATTATATATTTCAGGGTGATATAAATTTTGATATTCTTTCCAAAATGCCTTATCTTGATGCTGTTTTAAATGAAACATTAAGAATACAGAACCCGGCAGTAATGTAAGTACCATTTAACTTATTTAAATCTTCATAATCAATAGTTGAAAAAATATAAGTTTAAAAGACGTTTATTAATTTTTATTTAATGTTACAGGTTGACGAGAGTAGCCGCTGAGGATTATATTCTACCTAATACTGGAATAAAAATTAAAAAAGGAATATCTGTTGTAATGCCTGTTTACGGTATGCATCATGACTCTGAATGGTTTCCAGAACCAGAAAAATTTAATCCCGAAAGGTATTTCATAAAACGTTTATGTCGTTCATACTAATTTTTTTTTACATTTTTACAGTAAGTATACTCTTTAATTATGACTTTTATCACCGTGTTTAGATTTTTACCAGAAAACAGAAATTTAATCCAACCATTTTCATTTTTACCTTTCGGAGATGGTCCTCGACATTGTATTGGAATGAGATATATCAATATGGTTATGAAGTTGGGTATAGTTCACCTCTTGCGCAATATGAGACTAGTCGCTACCGATGAAACAATGGTAAATAATTAATGTTAAATTGCATTTATATAGATTTATAACATAATAATCTCATAATTTTATTATATACACAAACATGCTTATGTATACATATAATTATTGTAAACATACTGAATATTACTAATAGTAGAGAAAGAATATATATAGTAAGATATAATTATTCTATAGAAAAACCGGGGCAGAACAGAATACTTAAGTTATTATTCTTGAACCTTGTCTTTGTAAAATAATAAAGGATACTCATACACACTTGGGAATGAACAAGTTTATTTTTTAACTACTTGAAAACACAATATTTTTTCAAAACTACCAAAAAATTAAACACGTCAGTTATTATGATATAAAGAAACATGCACTTTGGTCTGTTCTATTACTTAACACTTACTTTTATTACTTAAAAATAACTTTTAATTGTAAAATAATTTATCGTTGGTTATTTTTAAGTAATAAAACAATACAGAACAATGTAGTTTTGTATTTTATCCCTATATAATTACAAAATACAATTTATCCCTGTGCAATTCAACTAATTTTGACAAATTTTGTCAAAATGAGTTGTATTACACATGGAACACTTGTTTGAAAACATTTAAAAGATTAATTAAATAAAAAACTTTTTTAATTAACGCAAAAATTCACAAATGAGAATAGCATCTTTCTAGTCACTGTCCACTCCAGCACATGTATATGGACTCATTTGAGGCAGTTCAAGAAAACGCTGGAGATACTCCCTTTAACAGATCTGACCAGACGCACAGGTTATATTTAAATATTGTGAATCTACAGTTTACAATATTACATTACTTTTGAAGAATTACAATATATATACAGTACATAAATCTACAGTTTAAAGTGCAATTTAAAAAAAATAGCAGTGCGTATAACATTTAAAATTAACTTGTTTGTCTTATCACAAGAATAAGAATCAGTAAAATTGCAATATCTAGAGAAAGGGATGAACTCTGTTGCAGCATGTTGCCAACTCAGTAATCTCGAAAGGGCAGACATTCGCTGTAGAGTCTGTTATAAAGTTCTTGCAGTTTCTATGGCCAAAAAATATAGGAAGTCTCTTCTGCCCGATTTCTTCTGTATTGAAATGCATAACGCGCTGAGCATTATTTGGGCTGCAATTTGAAAACATTGTAGACCGTCTGTCCGGCTGTTTGTCTGTCTTTTCTTAATCTCAAGAACGGAGTTAGACAGATGAAAGTAGAGACCATACATGGAAATTTTAGTGGCAGGAGATCCCGATTAACTATATAAAACCTTCAACAATTTCTAGTGGAAAAAGTATGATACCCAGCGGCAAGACAGTACTAATTTCAGGTGGAAAACACATATTTTAAATTAAATAAATTTAAAATATGATTAAAAATTGTAGCCCGGCATTGTGACGATGTCACAATAAATAATTGTATAGGTTTTGAGCCAATATTGATTCTTATTGTCTTTTTCCGTAATCGTGTCTTCTGTACTTTTGGCAAATTTCTTCTCCTTTAAGGTGTACAAAATTTCATGGATCGCCTTAAATTAAGAAGTAACTTTAAAATATTTATCGAACTTATTAACTTCTATAAATATTTTCTGAATTTTTATTCACATGACTAGTAAAAAGGCTTAGACTATAAGAAAAACTTTGTATCCCACTAAAATATTCATATGAACAATGTCTCGACCCCCACTCTTCCCATCGTGTACAATGATGAACTTTCGCGACTCCTCTTCCTTCCTTAAACTGTACACGTAATTACTGGGCGGTTCGTAGCATTCAGCAAAGTATTGGGCCTATTTAAAATGATAAATATTTATATAAAAACAGAATCAATAGTTTAAATAAGAGAAACAAAAATTTTTAGTTGTTTAATTAATAAGCTTAAAATTAATTTAATTAATATTGACATCTTTGTACCAGAAGTGTTTATAAAAAATTAAATCTTTGTTTAGATTTTTATGAATTTAATGAAATTGTTATGTACCATTGCTTATTAATTGCCCATAATAAATTAATTTATCTAAACTTTGTTTCAATTATTATTCAAAAATACAATAACAACAATAATAATTGCAAAAAATTTCAACAGTAAGAAAATGTTTTTCACAGCAATTTTAGCTGAAAATTCTCAACAATGAACTAAAGAAATGAATATAGAATTCAAATTCCTTTATTCTTATATTAAATATAAATAGTGAAGCAGAATTGGCTACTTTTCTGTTATTATTACAGTGAAGCGTCAAAATGATAACTTCCTTGTTGATGTTCTTTCGGTCTTGCTTATTGATGTTCTAATATTCATTCAGAATTTACAGATTTTAACTTTAAAATTATCAGTGTAACTTTGTTTAAATGTAGTCATTTTATAAATTATATTTTGAATGTTTGTAAATGTATTCCTACATTCCTGGCTTAAACATAAAACACTTAAATTTGGATAACCGTGTATTTGGAGTTTACAGAATTAAAATGTTAATTTACGCGTGTTTTGGCAATCCGAATGGGATCTGGCCCAAATTAGTCCGGATTTTCGCATTCATTGAACTTCGTTTGACAAAGTATATGAAACTATTCAAGGCTTTCATAGATATCGAATGAGCTTTTGATACAGTATAACACTTTTAGTTGAAAAATTAAGAGCTAAAGAAACTGAAGAAACATTTTTCTCTGCCGTGCTTAAAAATGTGAAGAAAACACGCAAAACTCCACATGACCAGCATAGTCACGAAGCGCGAAACTAAATAACTGACTACCAGTGTTCATTGGTTACTAAAGTTTGTATGGCAAATTATTTATTGTAATAATTTAGTTGCCTTGCCCATGAGTAACAACATAATAAACTTCTAATTTATTTTGTATACTTGTACTTTCTATATATTAACAGGACTTATTATACTGGAAAATTATGGATGCAGATATCTAGTCTTACAGTTCAAAAATAATGTTCTTTATTTAGTTCACCTGAACACATACACTTCAAACATGTGTTTCGGACTTGTTCGTTCCTCCTCAGCAGGCCTTCAAACGACACTTTCTATAATTAACAATAATCAACTATAAAAACATTTTTCGGTACAATTATCACTAAAAATTTAACAAAGAACATAAACATTTCCCGACAATAAATATTTAAAACTCTTACAACTTCTGTTTTTCCAAAATTCACTATATTTCCACTTAAACTTCCGATCCACAACAACCATACGATTTTGCACATTCCTAATTTTTTAACATTAAAATCATTTTAAAANTCGTGAAAAATGAAGACATTATTAAATCTGCTAAAGTTGCGAAAGGGGTTTAAACAATTTCTAAACAGAGATCGAAGACATTAGATCATGTTGAGAAATTGCTTTTGCTTTGGATAGCTGAAAAACAGTGTGCTAGAGACAGCGTATCACAACCATTTAGTTGAGAGAAAGCTAAAAAGATACATGCTGATCTCATGAAAAACCAAGCAGGAACTAGCCAGGTAAGCGAGGTGTTTCAAGCCAACCATTTTTTTTTCACATGAGAACGGATTAATAATTTTTACATTACTTTTTATGGGAAAGGTTGGTTCGGTATACGTCCTATTCGGTATAAGTCCAAACATCAGGAACGGATTAAGGTCGTATACCAAGATTCCACTGTATATTATATTCACTGAATTACTGCGGCAATTATAGAGCGCGAAATAGACGTGCCATTACGCTATTACTGTGACAGATAGCACATACCACTTGCCTGTGTGTAGTGTAGTAGTGTTTGGCTCTTGTACATTATACTTTTCCTGTTATCAATAACCGGCATAATAGAATTATGCCGGTTATGTATCTAACTCCGTTCAGGGAAACATTTTTAAATTGAAATAACGTGACTTGCGTTATAAATCGGAAGTTCAGATATAGTTAATCCGGTCCTCATTCTCTTACGATTTTCATGTCTAGTCTAGGCTTTCATCTATCTAACTCATTTCTCGATATTAAGGAAAGACAGAGATGGACTGATGACAGTGTGAATAAATAGGTCTGCAATTTTTTCAAATTGCAAAAATAGGTCTAAATAGGTCTAAATTCAAATTGCAGTCCAATAAGTAGGCCTACTGTACCCTCCAGTAACCGAATCTATAAATCCACCGAACACCAGTAGTCGTTCGTGGGTTCGCGCATGGCCAACGAACCACGTGGCTACGTGGAGTTTTCTAGTTTTTCTTCCCGTTAATAACACTTAAATTGAAGCCAGATTTACATCAAAGTCTTTCTGGGATACATCCTCCTTGGCAAATCGCTCGCCTGTAGCGTTGCTGTAACCAAATAAACCAAACCAATTTTAATAATTTTTCTATAAATGCGATATTTACGAAAACATATCTAACTATCAGGAAACCTGGACACACCGCTCCCTCCCCTGATTTCCTCTTCCCTTAGTAACTCATAAACCCACTTTATCGATAATGCTTAAGATATTGTAACATTCAGCCAAATTAATGTACTGTACATGCAACGATTTTAAGGCACAAAGTAGAGCTGGAAGTTTTTTTTGTGCCGATGTTTATTTTTTCTATCTATTATACTACAAGGTGACATTGCTTCATTCAAAAACCCTTCACTTGTACTTGTAGTCTGTGTAATGTACACTTTATTCACTTGTTGTCTTATTGTCAAATCTGCTTCCAGTATTCTTATGCTGCAACTTTCAGAACTTTTCTTTAATTAGATGTTTTTGCTGAGATTTACTTTTTCAACCTGGTTTCACAAGTTTTTTTTTACTGGATCACATAAAAACAATTATTTTCGCATTTTTATAAGACATTTTTATTTAAACAAGTCTTATATGAAGTCTTTCGAACATTAAGGTTAGTAACTTTGATTACATGTGAGACCATAACAACCTATCCAACACGAATCACTTTTCAAATATTAATATTAGACCAATATTTATTAGTAGTCGTTGACATCCTCTCACCCAGGAGGTGAACAACGACTACTTTTGATCGAATTTACGTCATCCTCCATCTGCAACAGTTCCTTCTTTTCGGATTCACTGTATGGTGACATTCGAATAGAAAAATGACATAATACAAGGTTACTAGTCTGTACAAAATATGCTTTAAGTGATTTTCGAAGATGCCGAGATTAAATATTTGGTCTATTTTTCGCGAAGTTTGGTTGGTTGGCAGATTACCATCTGTTATTCGACTGTGAATGGCACAGTTTCTTAGAGTTAACATTAGGAAAAATATATCTTTAAAAATTTTAAATATCAATTTTCAGTTGCTGTCTACTTGACTAATGAAATTCTGCCATTTCGTACCGTCCGAGTGTCGCAATAAACATGACAATGGTAGGCTAAAATAACCAAACTGTTTTTACGGTTTTTGTTTTAATATTTGTTATATAAAAGTATTTGATTTATATAACTACAAATGTTATCTTACGTAACTGTTTAGCACACCGAGTGACCAATCTAACATATTTTAAAACATTTTTATTCCTTTACTGTACACAATTTAAAGAATTTTAGAATGGTTAGATTGTCACTTGGTGTGATAATTCATTATGTAAGATAACCTTTGTACGTATGTGTATCAAATTCTATAATAAGTTATAATATAATAGAAGTGTTAATTATAAATCATAAATTTATTTTAATGTTTTTAAATATGTACTATAGTGATGCCGCTTGTATGGCAGCATGGAAACGAGTGCGTTTCCATTAAGAGGATCCACATTAGAGGCGCGATTGAGATACTTTCTGCCACGCGATTATCTAAACAGTTCCTCGTAATAACAATAACAGCCATTAAATTATCTTATAGACTACTTAGCCAGGGCAATCGAGAACTTCTACGAAGGCACGGGATAAAGCGGGCCCTTTTATTAATTTTTTAAACAAATGAAATACATAGAATGATTTTTATTAATAAAAAATCAATTTAAAAATTTTTTGTTAATGAAAATACGTTAATATATAGGTAACCTATAGGTAACCGAGTCTTCTTTTCCTGGGTTTGAGAAAATTTTTCCTGCTCCCCTCCCCTCGCGACATTCCTATCTAGCCGTCCAATAGGTAATCTACACTGGCTGTTCTCAACTTTTTTTTTGCCTACCCCGAGCCTTCTGTGCATAGAGATGTAGCACTAAGTGGCATTTCATGCGTTCTGTTAGAAATAAGAAAACCGTCCGTTCAGAACCGTTAATGTAGAAAATCGAACGAAAAAATCCACTTAGGCCGAAAGGCGTTAAAATTTTTCAAAATATGTACCGATATTTACAGTGGAAAGAATAATGTGTGATAAAAATGCACTGTTAAACAAACAAATATGCATTTCCAAGTAAAATTGTAATAATATTTCCAACATAAGATTATATTCATATTTTACTTTTAATTTTTAGTTTTGATTGCGCCGAAGATAGTTCGTTACTTCAAGATAGAAATTTTCCCCCGTAAGGTATTGGATTACTTCAGGAATGTAATTTTGAAAATTTTAGAAGAAAGAAAAGAAAAGAAAATAGTAATTACTTATTATTTTCTTATATACAATATTAATTTACTAAATAGGCTATAACAGATATCTAATTAACCATTTATATTTTTTACCATTACTTGATATAGTATAAAACGTGTAGACATAATGTTATAAATAAAATTGTGTATCGTTTCGACATCAAATTTTAATTAGTCTATTTTTTTCTAAAATAAAGAAATTTTATTTACTTCATATTTGATGTGTACAATAAATATGATCTTCGCTTTGTATAGAGAGGTAATGATTTTCTTCAGTTAATGATGGACGCCCAAGAAGGGATTCTCGAAAATAGTACTGAAGATTTGAAAGAAGCTTCAAACGAAATAAATAATTACCAGGTGCAACATAAACACAAAAGTATTAAATTATTTTTATTACGTGATATATTTTATTTAAATTAATAACCTGTTAAATATTAATTTACATTACAGCCATGACGATTGATGAAATTGTAGCTCAAAGTATTTTATTTTTTATTGCTGGGCACGATACGACAACTACAGTGTTAACATATTTTTGTTACCAAATGGCATTAAATCCAAAATGGCAAGAGAAACTGCTAAGAGAAATAGATGAAACGTGGCAGCAATATGTAACTTAAATCTAGTCTTTATTCATTACATCAATAATATTATTATTTTAAAATTACTTTTTGTTCCTAAAACATAATACCTTCTGAATTTTACGCAGAAGACAAAAAGCTTTTCTAATTAAAAAATATATAATTTATGGTTTTATCCTTATTTGAAAGATGTGAAGTCATGTAAAAAGATACAAAATATTTTATTTTCAGTTTAAATTTACAAAAAATTTATTACATAATAATATATGTAATACAAGAGAAAATAATCGTTTTTCTTCGTTCAATTTGAAGGTTTTAACTGAACCACTTACCTACAAAAGTCAATTTTCAAGTTTTATTCAGAAAACAATCAAAATTAGTTAATGCAATTCATATATAGTACAACATAGTTAAATCATATATGAATAATAATTATATATTTCAGGGTGATATAAATTTTGATATTCTTTCCAAAATGCCTTATCTTGATGCTGTTTTAAATGAAACATTAAGAATACAGAACCCGGCAGTAATGTAAGTACCATTTAACTTATTTAAATCTTCATAATCAATAGTTGAAAAAATATAAGTTTAAAAGACGTTTATTAATTTTTATTTAATGTTACAGGTTGACGAGAGTAGCCGCTGAGGATTATATTCTACCTAATACTGGAATAAAAATTAAAAAAGGAATATCTGTTGTAATGCCTGTTTACGGTATGCATCATGACTCTGAATGGTTTCCAGAACCAGAAAAATTTAATCCCGAAAGGTATTTCATAAAACGTTTATGTCGTTCATACTTATTTTTTTTTACATTTTTACAGTAAGTATACTCTTTAATTATGACTTTTATCACCGTGTTTAGATTTTTACCAGAAAACAGAAATTTAATCCAACCATTTTCATTTTTACCTTTCGGAGATGGTCCTCGACATTGTATTGGAATGAGATATATCAATATGGTTATGAAGTTGGGTATAGTTCACCTCTTGCGCAATATGAGACTAGTCGCTACCGATGAAACAATGGTAAATAATTAATGTTAAATTGCCTTTATATAGATTTATAACATAATAATCTCATAATTTTATTATATACACAAACATGCTTATGTATACATATAATTATTGTAAACATACTGAATATTACTAATAGTAGAGAAAGAATATATATAGTAAGATATAATTATTCTATAGAAAAACCGGGGCAGAACAGAATACTTAAGTTATTATTCTTGAACCTTGTCTTTGTAAAATAATAAAGGATACTCATACACACTTGGGAATGAACAAGTTTATTTTTTAACTACTTGAAAACACAATATTTTTTCAAAACTACCAAAAAATTAAACACGTCAGTTATTATGATATAAAGAAACATGCACTTTGGTCTGTTCTATTACTTAACACTTACTTTTATTACTTAAAAATAACTTTTAATTGTAAAATAATTTATCGTTGGTTATTTTTAAGTAATAAAACAATACAGAACAATGTAGTTTTGTATTTTATCCCTATATAATTACAAAATACAATTTATCCCTGTGCAATTCAACTAATTTTGACAAATTTTGTCAAAATGAGTTGTATTACACATGGAACACTTGTTTGAAAACATTTAAAAGATTAATTAAATAAAAAACTTTTTTAATTAACGCAAAAATTCACAAATGAGAATAGCATCTTTCTAGTCACTGTCCACTCCAGCACATGTATATGGACTCATTTGAGGCAGTTCAAGAAAACGCTGGAGATACTCCCTTTAACAGATCTGACCAGACGCACAGGTTATATTTAAATATTGTGAATCTACAGTTTACAATATTACATTACTTTTGAAGAATTACAATATATATACAGTACATAAATCTACAGTTTAAAGTGCAATTTAAAAAAAATAGCAGTGCGTATAACATTTAAAATTAACTTGTTTGTCTTATCACAAGAATAAGAATCAGTAAAATTGCAATATCTAGAGAAAGGGATGAACTCTGTTGCAGCATGTTGCCAACTCAGTAATCTCGAAAGGGCAGACATTCGCTGTAGAGTCTGTTATAAAGTTCTTGCAGTTTCTATGGCCAAAAAATATAGGAAGTCTCTTCTGCCGGATTTCTTCTGTATTGAAATGCATAACGCGCTGAGCATTATTTGGGCTGCAATTTGAAAACATTGTAGACCGTCTGTCCGGCTGTTTGTCTGTCTTTTCTTAATCTCAAGAACGGAGTTAGACAGATGAAAGTAGAGACCATACATGGAAATTTTAGTGGCAGGAGATCCCGATTAACTATATAAAACCTTCAACAATTTCTAGTGGAAAAAGTATGATACCCAGCGGCAAGACAGTACTAATTTCAGGTGGAAAACACATATTTTAAATTAAATAAATTTAAAATATGATTAAAAATTGTAGCCCGGCATTGTGACGATGTCACAATAAATAATTGTATAGGTTTTGAGCCAATATTGATTCTTATTGTCTTTTTCCGTAATCGTGTCTTCTGTACTTTTGGCAAATTTCTTCTCCTTTAAGGTGTACAAAATTTCATGGATCGCCTTAAATTAAGAAGTAACTTTAAAATATTTATCGAACTTATTAACTTCTATAAATATTTTCTGAATTTTTATTCACATGACTAGTAAAAAGGCTTAGACTATAAGAAAAACTTTGTATCCCACTAAAATATTCATATGAACAATGTCTCGACCCCCACTCTTCCCATCGTGTACAATGATGAACTTTCGCGACTCCTCTTCCTTCCTTAAACTGTACACGTAATTACTGGGCGGTTCGTAGCATTCAGCAAAGTATTGGGCCTATTTAAAATGATAAATATTTATATAAAAACAGAATCAATAGTTTAAATAAGAGAAACAAAAATTTTTAGTTGTTTAATTAATAAGCTTAAAATTAATTTAATTAATATTGACATCTTTGTACCAGAAGTGTTTATAAAAAATTAAATCTTTGTTTAGATTTTTATGAATTTAATGAAATTGTTATGTACCATTGCTTATTAATTGCCCATAATAAATTAATTTATCTAAACTTTGTTT